CAATCCAGAAGATTTCATCTTGGTCAAACTAGTTCTTACTCTTATATGATGCATGCAGAGTCAGAGTAAAAGTAGGGAAAACTGAAGAAAGGGTGAGGTGGTAAAAAAAAAATTTTATGTCAATCTATTAATATGTAAGAGAGAGGAAGAGAGACAGAGATACAGAGAGGGACAGAGTGGGAGGTAGAATAAAAGCTGCTTTGACTAAAAGTAGAAATATTGAGTATAGATGTTACAAGAATGGTTATAAATGAAGTGTCTCTTGAGTGTTGTGTATTAAAAAGTGAAACAAGAAAATGAGATATGAAAATGTTGTCCAGGCTATGAGTTACACACACTTTAATGTCTTACAAGGAACACAAGCAGTGCTTGGCACTTCTTTTGGCCAGTTTTGGTTGTAGCTTGGAAATTGTGCATCTTCAAAGCAAAACCGTAGATAGACTGAACCATTTGTATCCGTGAATTCTAAGGGATATACTCATACTCCAATAGCCAGAAAAATAATTTTAATATTTTCCCCATATATAGAATGTCATTTGTGTACTTGCACATGTAATTTACAATGGTTAAGTCATTGGGCAGGAGACTTACTCGTAAGAATCTTTGTTCACTAGATGTACATAGGATCCAGGCATGTAAATGAGGAAAACAGAACCACACAAATTAGGAAGAGGAGGGGAAAGGAGAAGAGGTAGAGAGAAAGAGGTCAGGGTTCAGTGAATGAAAACATGGAATTATTTGGCAATTCAGAGGATTAGAATAACTTGGAACCAGGAGAAACAGCAGTTTCTCAGAGACACAAGATCATTCCTAGAATGCAGATCATTCTGAACTGCGGTCTCACTGGGGACACAAATGAAACCCTGGGGAACCAAACGAGTCTTTTCTCCTCAGTGGCTAAGTTCTGCTACATGTCCCACTTCTCCGTATGCTCTAACTAGGAGCTAAACTCCATCCAGATACTGTATGTCATCAGTACTTGTCCCACAGTACATTAGTACATATATAATAAATATTTGATAAATACATGAATCAACTTACTTCCATTTAAACCACTGCATCCCTGTACCATAGTGCTCACTATAGAAATTAAAATTGTCCAGGTGTCTGGTTTCCTAAGCAACTTTAAGTTCCCTGTGCTAAAGGACAGTATATTATTCATGTTTGGAGTCTCAGCTGGCAGAGTGGACACTTGATCAATGGATGATGAACTGAACTGAAAAATAAATATACAGAAAATAAGCTTTACTTTAGGCAGAAAGTAAAGTGGGTAAAGTTAGATTTAGACTAACTTCATAGTCAAGAAGGAAAATATTTGCAAATAGACTGTAGTGAATTCAGGCTTGCAATGTATGACCTTATAAACTAGCACACAGGGTGTCCCAAAAGTCTCCATACCAAGGGAAAAAATTGTAAAATTTTATAATGAATATTTTATAAATGAAGGTACATTTAGCTACAATTTCCCACTTTCCCTATGTATGGCAACTTTCAGGACACCCTACAGTATCTCTAAATTGTCTTCTAACAACATATGAGATATTATGTCTTATCCCATCTCTGGGCCACAATTTTCACAGATTTTTCCAAAATATGGCACCAAATGCAAATAGGAGGAATACCTGCAGATTCTCTTCTTTTAACTTGAAGTCACTTAGAGATGAGTCTAACTTTTGTGTATGGAAACCTGAACTCCTCACTAAGGCAAGAGATACTGTTTCAGGATAATTGCTTTGTGAGACTGTATGCTTACTCTGGTAATACTGTTATTGCCCAACATCTTTTGGGAACTGCCTTCTAAATCTTTGAAAAAACATTTTTTGTTTGTGGGTGAACATGATTTTGAAAACAAGCAGAAGTTAATCCACACTTTAGCCTTGCGAATACATGTGGGTCATTGAAGTTATGAAGTTTTCCAGAAAGAAAACAAGGTGTACTGACAAAGTGACTAACATTTTGGGGTTGTTTATAAGATAACTCCGCAATCAGTGCCATTAGAAGTCACAGGAATATGAATATTTTTATTAGGACACTATCGTGAGAATAAGTACAATGTTTTCTGAGAGGACTACAGTGGAAACCAACACTTGTGAATGCATAAGTTCTGGCAAACTTGTTTAGGAAAAGTCTCAGAACTTTAAGACGATTCTTCCCAACTCAGAATTATGTCTAAATCATTTGTATTTCTCTTTTCCCTCTGTGTGCTTTTATAAGGAATGCCAAGGAACAATGACAGAGGCAGGGGAGTAGGAGAAAGGGAGAGAAACTAAGAAACTCTTTGTCAATACTGAGACATTGACTCAGAGGTTTAGGTCAAAGAGTTTCTTGAATTTAGTCAATAAAACAACAAATGAAATGATCTTTAATGGGGGAAGAGTGAATGATAGAAGTCCTATCAACTTTTTGTGTAAGCTGTTATCCTAATGGGGTTTGTAAACCCCTATTAAATAAACACCTATTAAATAATTAGATATTTATCAAAATAGCCTAGATGTGAGAAGGTAAGAAATATCGCCCCCTACCCCC